AGGAGAACAGACTGAGAAGTTTTCTCTCTTTTCACCAATTCTGATGGATCAAGCTATATTTCCCTTCCTACACACACTAAATTATGTCTGTTAACTCCTTTTCTCCTTTCTCTTACCTCTTAATCACTTGCTCAGAATCAGATCATGCCTCGGTGTGAAAAGGCATGCAGGAAGCCTGGAAAACTGCATGTTTTAGGTATATAAACTAGATTGAGACAGCATTAATTATAATGGTGTAAATTCAGATCAATTATATGATTTTGAACATACACTAGTCTAAAAGGAAATCACCATGTGGCTGATTTACTTTGGGAAAGCTGTTATGTTTCATCTGAGATTTCTGTGAGCCTCTTTTTGAGGGCAGATTCCTAAGTTTTCAGGTGTCAACATAGGCCCATGTGACAAAGTCAGAGAGGCAACTTATTCACAAGGCTGAATTTTGCCCACAATACAATATCGTAATGCTACATAACCAGGCTGGTTGCAAACATATGCTATAGGTTACAGAACTGGAATGGCCAAACTTGCTTGCAAACTGTCGTTTAGGTGTAAATCCTAGTGCATTAAACAGTTTTTGGATATAAAACTTAGCAGCTTTTCCATTCACTCCTCCAGTTAAAGTAAAAGTACGGACTGTTTTTGAATGCAAGTTCAAAGCTAGGGCAATGTTAACCATTGCCACCAATTTTAGATTTATCATTTTTCCTGGTCATTAAAGCAAAAATACAATATATATATTCCTTAAAAAGGATGTACAGAAATAAAATAAGTAGCAGGATAACCTAAGATGACATTTGCTTTATATAAAGGCTCATAAGGGCCTCCTAGAGGTTCATAAAGCCTATGTCAAAACAGTATATATTTGTGGAGATGTTTATGTTAATATTTGCTACCTTATTTGCAAGCATTGTAATTAATGGAGACGCAATGTGCCCTTTTGCTGTAATTATGAGATAGAATGATGACCTGTTTATGGGATAGCTTATTGCATACATAGGCATACATCTTTTTAAAGCTCAGGATTCATAACTCTAGAACCATTATTTAAGGTGTTATTATTGCTTTTTAAAACATACAAGTCTTTCATGCAACTGCCTGTCTTTTCAGCACATTGTTGCACCAGCATCCATTTCCCAGTGAGGCTGCAGAAGTCATCTGCCTTTGCAAAGCTGCTGTTTACAATCCTGCAATTAATCTGTTCAGAAACTGTGTTTAGAAGCAAAACCTCTACATACATGCAAGAAAGAGGCTCCAGCTGCTGGAAAGAAATATTATGTTAGTTTTATTATATTACTGCTTAAGAAAACTACAATTTCTCTTTTACACACCCTACTTATCTTTTACTGATGGCTATACACTGTATACTGCAAACTATATTGTTTGGATATGGTTTTTATTATAAACTGACAGGTTAGAAACTCAGCATTTCTGTAATTTTGAAGCTTCCGCATTTTAAATGTCCTACCTAGACATAGGAAGAGACTATAGGAAGATCTTTACTGCATCAGTTTCTTAATAAATATTCCTCTGCACATCAGCAATGCCTGGCGTAGGTGAGGATGAGGTGCAGAACCATATGAAAGCCTTGTAGAGTCCCTTTAATTCTGAAGACCTCCGTAGAAAATAAATTGCTATCCAGCTGCATGTTCCAAATACGTAGACTTTTTCCCAGTAGTTTCTTCCCTGGGGAGATGCTCTTTTATCTCGTAACTTTAGGGAGACTGGAAATGGAGTTCATGTTGCTGCGACCAGCATTTCCTTCCATGGGTTCTCAAAATGCAAATAACATAGAACAGGACAAGTGTTCCCTGGGCTAACCCTATCACCAGCACATCAAAGACATCACCCTTAGCTGTAACGGGGGGAACGCAGAGAAAAGTCTGGGAAGAAACGCGCACAAATGGAGGCTACTCTACCGGCCCAGGAACTGCTGGGCTGGAAACATCCCGAACTGTGTAGAGCTGAAATTCTAAATGCTGCCACTCCTCTGACCATTCTGTTACTGAAAGTTACTTGGAGTTGTAAAACAGGCATTCTGAGGTGAGCTTTTACAGATGAATTAAGCAGCAACTTGTGACAAAGCAGTTATCATCAGGAGATAATTGACCTTATTTGAGAGTTAAGCATCCTGAGGCAAAGTAGAGTGTGCTTAATCCTGGCAGGTTAATTATCCAGTGATTATGGAAGCTTGGAAGGTATTATTGCTAAGAACCATTTGCAAAATGACACTATAAAAAAAAAACCTTAATTTAATAAAAATTAAAAGCAATGACAATAATCAAGTTCTCCAGTCAGGTATTGCTAGAAAATGACTGCAGGATGGCTGTAATTGGCTAGCAGCAATGAACATATAATTATTCCTATACTGAATGTTCTGTACTAAATTTATTAGATGAACTATGGCTAATAAGTATCAAAAATTCAAGGCAAGATATTTGTCTGGTTTTAAGAGAGGTTTAAAGTGATCAAAACACTTGTGGTCATAGAGCTAATGCTAAAACTGGTAAGTTTAGCACCGAGTTATCAGAGCATTCAGTGTCTCTATGGCAGTTTAGAGTATGTTGGCATTTGCATTCTGAAGAAGAACATTTATTCCAAGAGGTTTATATATTGCCCATTTTAATTACCATCTGGCTGAAACTTTAAATAACTAATCTCCATTCAGATGTAAATTTTTAAGTAGAAGATGTAACCCAAAATCACTTAACCAATTTTTGTTTTTTTAGTTTAGGAATAGCAGCAATTTGGAATTTTGCTGCTCTCAGAATCTTTTGTTTTACTCTAAAAATATAAACAGCTCAGTGCTCAACAATAAAATTATATTTGTCCATAATGTGAAGTTAAATATACAGAAGAATAAAAATCATGCCTGAGACTATTCTCATTCTAAAATAACAATAACCACATTACTCAGGTGACTTGCATGTACTTTCACTATTTAACTAAACTAGCAAAACTGATGGAAAATGTAGCAAAAAGGCAATCAGAGGACATGAAGGAAAATTTGGCTTTGGCTAGCTGAAGTGGTGCATTGCCCATCAAGGCATACCTAAACACAGAGAAAAAAAAAGGTACTTGCAGATGAAATGAATACAGGCGAATAAAATAAAAAGGAAGCTACTAGGAGCAGAAAAACTAAACCTGCTCTCTAACCATAAACCATGGTGCAGTGAGCAGAACAACTACGAGTCACAAGATCCAGCAGGCACTAGACCTGGACGCAGCCCGTGCCAAGGGGCCCTTTCAAGTCGCCCAGGAAGACAAGAGAATAAATCGCGGTGAAAAGCTCTTCAGCAGCTCTAAAGCAGCCGGGACAGCTTATGTCGTAAGAAGCAGAGACTAAAAGCAGACTGATTTCAGCTGATTGGAAATTTAGTACATGTGGACAAAAAGGAGCACAAGTAACAGAGTGTAAGATGTTGATACTCTGAAGTGTACACACATTGTGCAGACGAGTTTAGGGACAATCACTTACATGTAAATAGCATCTTTTACCCTGAAAGACACCAAATTGCTTCAGAAATGCAGGGGACATTTCACACTTCAGTAAATACAGCAATCCTGCACAATATTTTGTGACAATATGTGAATAATACCATAGTAAACTGAAATGAAAGGGGTGATTAACTTCTCAGAATATAATTTCCAGAACGGTAATCTTGCCCATATATTGGACTATTACTTATAAAGTGAGGAAATTCATAGAAGACAATTGGTCACAACCTGTGTATTATACCCTGATAAATAGCACCTTATGATTTGCTGTGACCTGCAACGTCCTAGGAGGTTAAAGGGGCAATATTTATATTAAAGACAACCAATGGTTAATCCTAGAAGTTCTTTTGAAGTCCCTCTACCCCAACATTAACAAAAGTTGCTCCTGCTTAATTTGAGTCTCACAAGATCTTTTTCATGAAATCATATCACTAATTTCACTAATAAATCAAAATACTCAGTAGTATCTTAGTGAAGATTGTATTGCAAAAGAGAAAGCAAAGGCAAGAGATGGCAGTGGTAGCAAAATGTCTAGATAAATCCCTTCTGCATGCCCACTTATGATCAGTACTACCTCTAGAACAACACTAACCTGGCCATACAGCAATGGTGTAAAACGGGACTTTTTGTTGGAACAATTCCCTGAGTAGTAAACAGGAATAAACACTGTTCAAGTCTATGCTGTTTAAATCAGTTTTCTGTGATTTTCCCAGACTAATGCAGTTATCTCAAGGACAGGCAAATCTTTGCTTCATTTAGGTACATCATACTTTCCAAGATTTTTTTTTTCTTTAACCTTTTTGTGATGAGCAAACTAATAAATATTTAATAGAACTTTCTGAACCAAAAAAAATGGAGAAGTGATAGCAACACAATAAGTGAAATCTGAATTCAGTAAGTCTATTACATGGACTTCCAGGCAGAACTTCATGCATTCTGTTTGCCAACTGTTGCATAGCAAAGATAAGCTTCCTTAGATGGTCAGCCAGTCCATTTTCTATTAAAATCAATAAGAACCTTCTAAACCAATTCATAGTTTTTCAGGTTTCTCCTCCCATTTCTCCCAAAAGAGCGAGCATTTTCATCAGAGGAAATGCTGTCAAGAATAAGAATATGGGTATGGAATTAAGTTCCAGCATCTCAGCAGCTCTGCAGTAGCCCTTCACACATTTTCTCCCAGCAGAGATTTACTGCTGGGCAAGGACACACATATGGTAGTGATTCTGAAGCAGCCAGAGCACTGGACATTCCCTCTTTTAACCTCAAGTAACTTGTTCATCCGTCTCTACACTAACATGAGTGAGCAGTAAAGCTCTAACAGGACAAATGTCGTATCTGCCATCGACTGAAACATCATACCCCTTCGGGTCTTTTTTCTCTGCTGCTATTCTGGATTTCATCTTCCAGACACTTTAGAAAGTCTCCCTTTGCAAATAATGACAACTAGAAAACAGGCAACACAAACAGGTAGGTGCAAAAGACATATGTACTTTTGTAGGACTCACCGTCTCATTCCCGAAAAGGACGTCAACGTAAGGCATGACTTTCATCATAGGCTCTTTGTAGAACTGGCTAATAAATGGTGCAGAAAGATTCAAGCTGAAGATCTTGTTGTTTGCAGAAGCCTGAGCAGCCACTTTTAATATCGCTTCTGGTGACACCGTCAGGAAGAATCCCTGCAAGCACACAAACGACCCAGTGCATTTTACTCCTTTCAACTAGAAACACTGCAAATAAATACTATATTTGCATTAAAGTATTATAGAGGTAACAAAGAATCTGCATATGCTGAGAAAGATAACCCTCCAAAATTAAACATAACCCACTACCTCTGCATTCTATGGTGTGTGCTTTCCATGGCAGCTAAGGCTAATGTTTGTATAAAAAAGGTGCTATATTATAATTCTAAATGCCCCTTTTTGGGAACAGAGTCGATCTGACTCCACCGCTTAAATCCGATGCCCAAAAAGATGGCTCTGCATGGAGCTAAGGGATTAATTAAATCTCTTGCTTGAAGAATTATTACCTTGTTTATAGTAAGTACGTACAGCATGATATACTTGTTGCTATTCTGCATGAAAAAGCCCAGTGTTTCTCATGTTTCCACCCAGTATTTTTGATTTTCCTGAAGCCACAGATTCCGTATTTTCTTCTCCATATAGGCATTTCCTGAACCATGAGAACATGATCCTATTCAATTACTGTTAAAGGGATACAGCTGCTGATAGGAAGGGAGACTGTGATGCTCTCAGCTGTCAAACTAAAGTAGAGCTGCAGCTCTTGTCCTTTGGCTTGTCATGAGGCCAACTCCACAGTCTTAATGGGACATTCATGCACAATTTCCAGGCAAAAGCACACAATTCCATTCAATTATACCTCTTCTAGTGATAGCATAACAAAACGGAACAAAACGTATTAAAAATAAAGATATTGTCCAAAAACACTTAATATACAAGTTCTTGGCAGCTAACAGACAAAGCACAAAGATTTTTTTCAAGATGTCTTTACCACCAAATGGAACCCCATCTGTTCCAGTTGTTATTTGAAGTTCACCTAGTTTCATTTATCTACATTTTAGACAAACGCATACAAAGGCATAGTCTTTAGAATAAATAAACAAACAAATTTGAGGTGTTCCATTTCTGCAGTTCTAAAAGCACTTTTACTAACTGCTCTGAAAACTCAGTGTATAATAGTCATTTTCAAGCAAGAGCTGCAGGTGCTAAATTTAAGGCCAGAGATAATTTCTAAGGCAGAGTAACAAACAACTTGGAGTTGGGCCTTAAAAATAAATTGCCATCTCAGTTTTACGTATAACATCACTACTGTGACACTCTAAAAGGTTTAATAGTGAATCAGTCTTATTTTCTACTTTTTATCCATATTATTCTGTCTTCAGATCACAAAATATCTATATTTTTACTTCGACTACTTCAGCTAACAGCTCATCTTAGGCTTTCTATTCACTAGAAAAATAATATAATGAAGAGTCTGTAGATTAAAGATTACTTAGAAAATCTTTCCGTTTACTTGTGCCTACTCCAAGCTTCCCTGTCTAGCAAATATATGACCACTTTTAAAATCTGGGCATGATTTGTTAAATGACAATAAAAGTCCAGAGGGCATAAGAATGTTTTGCATCTTGTAGAGTTACTCAGTACCTTGAAAGACCAAAATCCTGTAAGCATCCAAGCTTCTCTGCTATTTTTACATTCTGAAGAATTAAAATGAACAGTTTATATAACATCTTGTCTCCATAGCAATCTCTACCAACTTTTAGTGTTTCATTTAATGAACAGAACTGAATTTTTTAAAAACTGTTCCAAACACAAAATAAAACCTTTCGAGGCTAACATGTTGCCAGCTGTGGATAAATCACAGATTGCTATACAGTGGTCTGCGTAAATAGTAACCTGGTCAAATAATTAGGCTTCTTACCAATTTTAAGCTGAAAACTTGATCTGAACTAAAATACATCTGATTGTAATTTAAGGTACGGAACACTATCCCCGTGAGATAAAAGTCAGGCCTGCATCCAACTCCCTTTGCCTTTGGAAAGGCAACATAAAAGTACTGAGATGCAGACACTTTGCTTCTCAGTTCCTGCATAGGAAAGCGTACAACTCTGTTTTCTGTGTTTCCTTAAACTCAGTCCTGCATGCAATCTCACTCCTCGAATAGCTTTTTTAAAAATATTTTTAAATGAGTGTATTTAAATGATAATGAAACATTCAGAAATTAAGAGTTGGGATGTAGAAAAGCTTTGTTAAAACCTTGCCAAATACAACATTTCCTTGCAAAAATAAGTTGCGGTTGTCCAAATCACACAATGGAATTAAGGTAAAAACAAAACGTATAAAATCTGAATCAAACAGGCCTGGGTTTAAAGCAAGCTGATTATATTATTTTCCTCCTTTAAGGATTTCCATAGAGTTTGACTTTATGTGTAGTGGAATTCCAGTTCCAGCTTCGTTCTGTAAAGCAAATGAGCACAGCTTCTTAGTTTGAATTGCAACTACAGGCCACAGACCACACCATTGCAACAAGCTATAATTTTGTACAGGAATGAACTCCACCAAAGCAAATGGGTTTTCTTGTATTACATGGGGATTTATAATGATTATAACAATAACATTCACATGAATCTAAGTCAACCATTCTGACCAGCTCTCACAATTAACTCTGAGCTAATATCATCTCTGAAGGCCAGAACTAGCAATTCTAAGCATCATTTCTGTAGTGGTACAGGGTGGTGTAAGATACCAAGTAAGGACACCTTAAAAGTTGAAGACTATAGGTAAAGAATCAATAGTGGTTTGCCTATTTAATTTAAGTTCCCCTCCCTCCCCCCGTCCCTTTTTGTTTTGTTTTGTTTTGTTTTGCCAATATCAGTGTCAATTCAGAGATCTCCCTTGGGTAGACTGTTGGGTAGAATGTGTGGTTTTAGAACATGGGATCTTACATCTCTTTATAACATCCGTGGATTCTTTGGAGACAGCAAATTAAGGCTGTCAAAAGTGTTAGGAGCCCAGGACCAGAGTGCTGAAGCATCTCACAGAGCCAGAACTGCTCTTTGGAAAATGTATTTCTGTATAAGATGCTCTTAGCAAACCGAGAGGTTAATCTGGAAGTCATTTGCTCACATGAAAAAACATACTTGTGCTGGCTTTATATGCATTACATACATATATAAAGATTTCATAATGTTATATTGAGGGTCGAGATATATGTTTTTAACTTTCTTTCTTTTCCTTAAAACCAAACCTGAAATCTGTGACCTAACACACAGATAAATCCAGACTGTGATAATAACAAACAGCTTTGCACCCCTCTATCCCCCTCCTCCATTTTCAGAGGGGCTTATACAAAATTAACTTCATTGTATGTGTGTGGTTTTCAAGGCATGACACCCTGTATTGATTTTAAAATAGCATTTGATAACAATATAAATTGAATATCAAATGAGAATCAAAATAATTAACTTCCGGAAACATATATACAACTGTCTGCTGCCCTTTGAGATAAGTTCTATTTTGCCAACATGAAAGAGTCACATCCTTTAATCCAAAATTATTTTATGTCAAGCATTTACATAAAAATGCAATTACAATGACATCACACTCATCCATCTAAAGGGTGGGATTTTTCAGGCACATACGAGTTGAACAATTATGTAAAGACATTCATGATAAATGCTGTGATTCAGCAAAAAGCCCTTTGAAATCACCCAGCTTCAAGCATGTGAGCAGTTCCAGTAAAGTCAAATACTTCTCATGTGCAAAAGAATTTTTCTCCGCTAAATTGCAAACATAACCAAGTCAGACCTTTGGACCTGCTGAAGTCTCCCCATGCACAAGGAGAACTTCAAGCCATGCTCAGGCAGAAGGGACCTTCTGTGGCTCTGCTCTACCACCAGTTTCATCTATGGCATCCAAGAGGTTTGGAAGGAGCCAAAATGCAGCACGAGGGCAGTTCTTGGTGGGGGAATGAACCACAGGGTAACTGCTCCAGCCAGAATAGCTTGTACACACCTGCTTACACACTCTTAGGACCAGGGGAGAATGAAACTTATTTTCTATCCTCTGAACTGTATGGAACATCAATTTGATTCAGTTCATGTCCCACTCACAGAGTTAAGACAATGAAATCAGCTTCCTTCAAAAAAGGAACCAGAAAGAATCTTCCAGGCAAGTTAGATCGAAACCTCTTCCTCTGTCTTACTACGTAATGCAAGTTTGAAGGAGCAGAGAACAATTAAGGGAAAAAAGGTCATCTTCAACATGGCAATATCTGGGCACAATAGTCTAAATGTGCTGCACTACCAATGAGCACACTTAGTGGAACACTTACTTCTTCCTTTCAATTTTGAGCATTTATACGTGCAACCTGTTCCTGCATGAAGTTATTTGATAAAATATTTTTTATTATCGAGATATAACAGAAGAATATCAAAAACCATAAATATTAAAATATTCCTGATTAAAAAAAAAAGAAACCCAAAACTCCAGAAATAAAAAGAAACAAAAGAAAACAAACAACATGTCCTTGACTAATCAAGGTGCTTGTGATGGGGTTTTTGTTTTGTTTTACTTTCTCTGAGAAGGAAAAGAGCTCTCCAGAACTTCCTATTTGTCAAATGGTCAGTCTATAAATATGTGAAGTATATGAAGTTGTTTTTATCTGTGTACCTAATTCTTCATCGGGTAGGTTATGTAGGAAAATATATTCTGGATTATTTATATGCTTAGGTAACACAGTATCAATTGCATTTTTGAACTATACTTTATCTTGTAGTGATCAGCAAGTGGTTACTTAATGAAACAAAACCCACTGCTTTTCATCCAATTCCTACTGGAGACAGTTGTTTTAAATCAAAAAGCAAGGATGGCAAAAATGCAACAATTTTTGTGAGTAATTGTTTTGGCTTGTTACTCTATGCATTGTTTATTTTTATGAAAGTATTGCTTTATAACTGGAAAATGACTAAGCTGTAAACTATTGTTCTATCATTCGGAGTGGCCAGTGTTTCTGGTTTTGATAAAAGCCAAGTTTCAAACAGTTTTCAGTAACATAGGAAAAAACCTAACTGTCAGTAAATGTGCTTATATTGACCCTGACATTTTCCTCTATGATGGTGCCAACATGTCAGGAGGAGAGGATTGCTTTCAGACTTGAA